AAACAAATGGAAAAGGAAAAAAATAAAGAGAAAGAGAAAAGGAAGAAGGAGAAGAATAAGAACAAGAGGAACAAGAACAGGAAGATGAGGAGGAAGAAGAAGAAAAACAAACAGATACATAAAATAAAACTGAAGCTGAAACATTTGATTTAACAATAAAAACAAAACAAAAATCATGAACATATTTATCGATTTAATTGCCGTACATACACTCCATCTCATGAATGTAAGGTATTAACGTGAACAATTCGATACTGGTGTCGTTGCTGAAAATTTTAAATAACAAAACATTTGATATTCGTATTTTCGTATTTTTCACTTGCATACCCTCATTTGCAGTATGGCATTCTCTCGTTTGAATGATTAGTGAATTACGCTGTATGTTAAGGATTTGCGGTCCTGAATCTCATTATTTTAAGACATTGCATTAGTGTTGATATAGTCAAGTATTTAGACGGACGATATGGGAAACTTTATTTGTTAAACCTAAAAGACAGTAAGACATCTCACTCACACTCTCTCTCTCTCTCTCTCTCTCTCTCTCTCACTCACTCACTCACTCTCTCTCTCTCTCTCTCTCTCTCTCTCTCTCTCTCTCTCTCCTCTCTCTCTCTCTCTCTCTCTCTCTCTCTCTCTCTCTCTCTCCCACCCCTCTCTCTCTCTCTCTCTCTCTCTCTCTCTCTCTCTCTCTCTCTCTCTCTCTCTCTCTCTCTCTCTCTCTCTCTCTCTCTCTCTCCCTCCCGATTTCTCCTTTTCCTTCTCCCTCTCCCTCTCCCCCTCTCTCTCCCTCTCTCTCTCCCTCTCCCTCTCTCTCTCCCCCTCTCTCTCCCCCTCTCTCTCCCTCTCCCTCTCATTATCTCTTTATGTCTTTCATCATTTCTTTCCCTCCTCTCCTTTATTTCTCTCATTTCTTTCACACCAATACCATCCTCTACTCACTCCACTTATGCCCTCGTAGAACCGGACAAGCTGCATGGCGCGTGAGGAAATCGTGTTCATGGGAAGCCAAGAGATTCCACCAGATGACTGTCGCGCCTTCTGTAGGAGAGACGCCGGCTCCCACCCAAGGAAACACAGTGCGCCCGCCTGCCAATAGATGGGGTTGTTTTGAGGGCGGTTATTCTAAGCGCGTTGATTTGTGTGGAGTTCGGTTACTGTCTGTGTGGTGGATTTGGAGTCATTGCATTTCTTAAATGGGTGACCTACGTGGTTTAGTGGGAATATATAATGTCTTTTTTGTAAGATGAATATGTATGGAAAGAGGTTGTATTATGCATCAAATTCACGATTAAAGGATGCACACTATATGCATGGTTATTAACAGGGCCAGATTATCCTATAGGCTAGTATAGGCTGAAGCCTAGGGCCCCTCAAGCTTGAGGGGCTTGGTTATAAAAAATCTGTTTTTCACTACGGTTGTGTTGAAATATAGTAAAATAGTAGTATTTAAAGAACATTTTTATTGACAAACAAAAGATAGCTATGCTAGTTTATTTAAAGAATTTGAAATAAGTTTACTTCAAGCTATGTAAATGTTGCTAAAATATATCACGAGTAAAAAATATTCTGAGGGGGCCCCATAATTTCATTAGCCTAGGGGTCCCAAAAGGTCATAATCTGGCCCTGGTTATGAATCAATAGATGATTCATGAGTAAGATTTCTCTAAAAGAAAATAAATAAAGGAATGAATACAAAACAAAAATAGTAAAATAACTACGGTAAAATATAAACCAAAGACCTACATTGTACCAAAAACAACTCCACCAGACATACAAAATAACACACAACAAATAATAACAAAACAAAAAAAATAAATAAAAAAATTAAAAATAAATAAATAAAAAAAGACGCAGAATCTACTTCACTTGTTTTCCCTCGAACACACCTGCTCTCGGCGCCTCCACGTAAGTCAACAAGGTAGCCAGTCGCTCTCCGGCCTTCTCGCTGTGAGGTCTCCTGGCTGGACCGTGGGTGTCCCTATGCGCCTCGTAGGTACCGCCCATGCCGTAGTTCGCGACCTGGTGCGTGTGGGCGTGATGGTAGTGGTGGTTATGATAAAAGATAATAAAGGGAAGATTAAGATTTGATGGTTGATGGTATATGATTGAGATTATTGGAGTTTTTTCTTTTACTAATCTTTTTTTCTTCTCCTTCCTATTTCATGTGGGTCCAGCTTTTGGTATTATTCATCCAACCCTTCTTCTTGGCTAGTCGTTTAAAGATCAGCGACAGACAAGAAATTTTACAAAATATTAATACCTTTTTGGATGGTTTACCATATAGGCTCAACGAGAGAGAGCAATTTTTTTTTTTTTTTTTTTTTGACTTACCATACAAGATCAACATCAAACACAATATACAAAATAATTATACCCTTTCCTTGGCTTATTTTACAAAATAATTGTAACTTTTTTTGGCTTGTTTTGTAAAATAATTATACACTTTTTTTAGCCTTAATTTAGAAAATAATCATACTATTTGAGATTACCATATAAGGCTCAGAGGCAGCGTCGTCCAGCGCCACATCAATCAGCTGACTGAGACGAAAACCCAAGATCTGAAGAGCAGGTTCGTCCTTTTCCTGAAGCCATGTGCTGGTCAGACAGAAATACAAAAGTAATTGTCAGTTTTATTCTGTTTTCTCTGAAATAAAAGATGTCGAAAGAGTTCTGCTTTTATAGAAGTATTGGGGAGATTAGAGGGAGAGATACTTATGCAATATTCGTAGGAAATTATAAGAAACGAGTCTGGGATATTGGATCTAGGAGGAAAATCTGTTAGGCGTCATGATGGTGATTAGAACAAAGCATGAGTTATACACAGGTGAACGTGGCAGGGAATATGGCCGTGTTATGTTTCCCTATTAATCTAAAGGTAATGTTTCTGTTTTACAGCTGATGAGTGTCATTATCATTACGGTAATGAAATTGTCTTATTGCGCGTGCGTGCGAGTGTGTGTGTGTGAGTGTGTGTGTGTGTGTGTGTGTGTGAGTGCGTGCGTGAGTGTGTGTGTGTGTGTGTTTATGTGTTTATGTGTGTGTGTATGTGTGTGTGTGTGTGTGTGTGTGTGTGTGTGTGTGTGTGTGTGTGTGTGTGTGTGTGTGTGTGTGTGTGTGTGTGTGTGCATAATATATATGTATATATATTATATATACATATAATATAGATGTATATATATGTGTTATATATATATATATATATATATATATATATATATATATATATATACATATATATATATATATATATATATATATATATATATATATATATATATATCATAAATATTAGAATACACTATACGCATACTAACTGCTTCAGCGTCCACCCACTCTGGGTCCCGTTTTCGCCGGTGCCGTAAGCTGGGTTATGCGGCGTTTGTAGGAGATGACCTGCCTTAGCCTTGACCTCCTCAGCTTCTCGCGGCCTCATGACCTCGTACACGATCGTGATGTAAGGCTCTAGAGAGAGGACTTCCACCTTGAAGGGAGCAAGCAGGAGCCAGGCGCTGTTTCCTGTCATGTAGCGGCATGTCAGCTGAGACGTTGCTTGTGGCGGCTGGAAAATCCAATACAGGAGGGGGTAAATATCAGCTGTTTAACGATACAATAGCAATGTATTATTCCCTTTTTACGTTACTAAGAAATTATATGAATAAATCAATACAGCATAACGATCAAACGACACTCCTACATGCCCGGCAACCAGAGAGAAAAAAAAACACTGATTTTACCCCAATACCAAAAATTTCTCAACATATTATCTCAAATGACGCAACGCTTACTCTCAAGTCTTCGCCGCGACACAGACGTTCCACCTGCTGTAGTTCCACCAACTGTCGGTAATTCCTCATCCACGTGGTGTTGACGTGTCTCTTTAGGAACTCCGTGCCCATCACTACCTCGGAGAGCTCGGGAGTTTTCGTGGCACTTCCGCGGACACGGGCCTTTGCGTAAGGGCGCGGCGCCGTGGCGTGCGTCAGGGACCGGGGCCCGCGCATGTCAAGCACGTGGTCATGCTGTGGTAAGGATGCCTTTAGGTTAATATATGGATACGTAGATAGCTATTGGTATAGATGTAGACACAGGTATAGATATGAATATGTACACACACAAACTAACACGCTCACCACCTTCCTCTCCCTAACCCTATCTAGTTCCCTCTTCCTTTCGCTCTCCCTCTCTCTCTTCGTCTCCTCTCTCTCTCTCTTCTCATCTTCTCCCATTCTGATGGTCGTGTTGCTCAAGTTCTCCAATTTTTCCATCTCCTCCCTCCTCTCCCTCTCCCTCACCACTCTAATGGCCTCCAGTTTCTTCCTCTCCCTCCCTCTCTCTCCCTCTCCCCCCTCCCCCTTCCTTTCCCTCTTCCCTCCCTCCCTCTCACCCCTCTCCCCCTCCCTTCCCCTCTCCTTTCCCACCAACTCTCTCTCTCCCTCACCACTCTGACGGCCGTATTGATCAACACCTCCAGTTTCTCCCTCTCCCTCTCCCTCTCACCCCTCTCACCCTACCTCTCACCCTCCTTTCCCCTCTCCCTTCTCACCACTCCCTCTCCCCCTCACCACTCTGACGGTCGTGTTGATCAACACCTCCAGTTTCTCCCTCTCCCTCTCCCTCTCACCCTTCTCACCCTTCATCTCACTCTCCCTTCCCCTCTCCCTCTCTCTTTCCCCTCTCCCTCTCACCCTTCTCCCCCTCTCCCTCACCACTCTGATCAACACCTCCAGTTTCTCCCTCTCCCTCTCACCCCCCCTCCCTTCCCCTCTCCCTTCCACTCTCCCTCTCACCACTCCCTCTCTCCCTCACCACTCTGACGGCCGTGCTGATCAACTCCTCCAGTTTCTGCGGCGTATAATCTGCACCGAAGCCTTCCTCGAAAGACACCTGCCCGTGGACGCTGGCCCTCGACCTGGCCGCCTTCAGGAACTCCACCGCGACGCCAAAGAAGCCCTTGTTGATCGCCACCAGACCGATGTGGGCCAAGTCACTCACTGCAGGAAAAAAAGGTACGAAACGAAATGAAAAAAAGATGTTCGCTGGTATTATCGTCGCAGAAAAACCCTTGTTTGATCAATGTGGGTCAAGTCACCCACTGCAGGAAAAATAAAGTGTACGAAATGTTATGAAAAAGATGTTCGCTGCTATTATTGTCGCTGAGAAACAAAAATGGAGCAATCTGTCGTTTTATCTGCATACTAAAAAGGTGTTTTCTCTGTTTGTTTCTAAGTTTGTGAATGGGTATGATTAATTTACTATTTAACTAGTTTATGGTGATTTATGATTTTGGTCTATACATGAACATATTAAATACTATCTTAGTTTATTAAGAACCACGGAAATTGTATGTAAAGACTGCATCTGGTTTACACATACAAAAGTGCTGCATTTTATTTCTTATTGTAGTTTGTACAGGAGAATATATTTTTTTACAATTCATACAAAAATGAAGGTAGTCTACTTCACCTTTTTCTTGGTTTATACAGGGTTCAATTTATTTGTTTTATCTTCCAGATACCTTACGTGGATTTTTTTTCATGAGATCAGGCAATAAAATAATGAACTTCTTTCTTACTGCTGAGTTGAAAGAAAATAATTTACTGTTGAGTCCATACGTGATGAATGAATTAGATATCTATATATTTACTCTCTTCCAGTTTTATTATCTCGAATCTCATTGAATAACGAATTATTAAACCATTACTTGAAAGCATATGGTATGACGAATCCCTTTCCTGGTCCACTGCAGTAAAAAGACTCCCGCGAGCCAATTCGGTAGTATTAAGACGATACACATGCGCCAGTCTCGCCAGGGATTCGGACGCGCCAATCAAGTCGTCAGTGTTCGGAAGCAGTTCTCTGTCCGGACGCGAAGCCAAGTATTCTGAAATGGGAGTATGGGTTATAATTTTTTTTTTCTATTTTTTTCTATTTTTTAAATTATGAAGGATGAGAACTGTGCGAAAGCGGTAGGATTTTTTTTTTGTGACTGTTGGAATTAGTGAAATGTGGTATTTTCAGCACTGGTATTTTCATGTAAGAATAATTAGTTATTTATATTTTCTTCAGAATCTTTAATAAAGAAGGAGAGATGTATCATCAACTACAGTTTAAATACTAAAAGAAAAAAGAAAAAAGGAAAAGATTTGTTTTAAATAGTTAAAGAAAAAAAGGAAAAAGGAAGAGATTTTGTTTTTTATACAAAAAAAGAAAAAAAAGAAAAAGAAAATATACATATCGAGCAGAGTCTCTAAACCACCATACCCATGTCACCGAAAATTTCCTTGGTTTCCTGCAGCGCTGAGTCGACGTGTTTCCACCCTTTTGACACGTGATGTAGCAAGGAATAGGCAGCCGCTGGGTCTCCGCTCCTCGCCCCCACGTCGCTCCCTCCTGTGAGTTCCTCCCATGACCCGACGTATCTGTGGTAATGTGCATATATATATATATATATATACACACATATATATATATATATGTGTGTGTGTGTGTGTGTGTGTGTGTGTGTGTGTGTGTGTGTGTGTGTGTGTGTGTGTTTATTTATATATGTATGTATGTATGCGTGTGTATGTGTGTGTGTGTGTGTATTTATGTATGTATGTATGCGTGTGTGTGTGTGTGTGTGTGTATGGGTGTGGGTGTGGGTGATACGGTGTCTTGTATTTTATGTATAAATGCTATAATGTGACCTTAAATTTGTAATGAAACGCAGTTATAATTAAAGGATAAACAGGTTAAAGTGTAATGTAGTTTATGTATAAATGCTATAACGTGACCTTAAAGTTATAATGACATAAGATTAAAAGGATAGACACAGACTCCGCTGGCGTTTTAACGTTTCACGAATTAACAATGGTTGAATTTAGGTCATTAGTAATACGTTAGATCTGAACTTTTTTTTCTCTCTCTTTTTTATCACGCACCTTTTCAGCACTTCATTTAATTTGTTCAGTGAATGCATTGTCGTCCGTATCCGTGCAATGGCTTCGGCTTCGTCTTTCCACAGCTGATCAATTTGTGCCCAGGACGTGTGGAGTGCGTGTCCGTCGCAAGCCACGCCCACGATGGTTATAAAGAAGACGAGAAACATCATCTCCGATCTTTGTATGACTGCCATCTGCAAGATATTCATAAATTATTATAATTCTATCACAAACTTGGCTAGCAATAACTTTTTTTTTCACTACGCAAATAAATAATCTTGAAATGTTCGATTCAGCTAGCTATTTCACTGTTTTTCATCACTTTTTTCTAATTAATTGAATATATTCAGCATTTCTAATTCCTTTTAAATAGTGGTATTGACACCACTCCGAAGAATGCCACATTTAGATGTAAATTATTCGTGCAAAAGTCAAGTACATGAACTATGAAAACTGTTTTTGAAGCACAAAGAAAATAAATAAGTCCATTGAAAAAATATTCCTGAAATAAAAAACAATCTTATTTTTTTCTATAATACTGATACAAAAAATTTAAGTCTTACGAAGTCACAATGAGAGT